GTGTAATGTTTATCTGTAATGTTAATTTTACCTGTGATTTGAATAAACCAGCACGGCTTTTTTATATATCCAATGGTCCGCTTCGTCTCTGTGAGTTCCTGGTTAAAAGAACCGAGTTTACCCTTCATTGACCATAAGCATCCTGCAGCACTCATGAGAATGACTAAGCATTTTAACAGCCTGAGCTAGACACCCTGTCTACTCTAAACATTCCTAATACATAAAGTACCTAAACAATATCTATCTGACTAAAAATACCTAACAGGTACATTTGTTATGCTTTAAAATTCTCTGTTTGTGTGCGTCTCACAGCCGCGACTATATGGATAAAATGGAAGAGGCCAGGCTTGCGCGGGAGGATAGGTGAGTGTGTGAACTAAATCAAAACAACTCACATTCACAGAGCAGCTGAACCCATGGGGGAATATGTTTGAGCCTGTGGTTTGGGAAGCTCAGTAACAATGTAATTGTTTTCAGTTTAAAAAGATGCCCTTCACTACCAGAGCCTAGGCAGAAACTGAACCTATTTCCTTAGCTTCATCTGCCTGTTTTCCCCTCTTTTAAGAAGCTTTATTTTAACTGCTGTGCTCTGACAGGGGCCTGATTGTTTTGGTTACATGCTGTGAGAAAATCAGATATCAGATTTCAAGATTTGTTAAGCTTTTTACACTAAATGGACACACCTATACACACACTTTTAACCAAACACATGTTCATTTAAACAAACAAGAATTTTCATGAGGCTAATAAATATGTGTGCAGATGTGAAGCACAGAGGTTTTTAATGTACACAAAATGGTATGTGATTTAACAATTAGATTTAGGACTGATACATCCATATATTAGTAAGCAAGAGAGAGGGGGTTGAATCAGTGACCTTAATCTCTGTTCTGGCCAGCAGGTTGAACGGTAAAGTTTGGTAGAGGGAGAAAAGGAGGAAGATGACAGGAAGAGAGTAGAACAAAGAGAAAAGAGAAGGACAAGAGAGGAGAGCTGATGAGGCACATCTTGAACAGGTTTACACTGAGGCACTTCTGATGTTTGGCTTTTCAGCACCCAGCATAACATTAACTCATCGACATCTTTCCCATATCTTCTCTCCTGTCATTCTCCTTTCCTCTCACCCTCCTCACTGACACTGTATCTTCTTTAAACTTTCTCTGGCTGCATATTTAAACTGCTGGTGATAGCTGAGCGTTTGGTTAGATGGAACGAAAAGGGAACACAAGATGGCAAATCATTTGAACCCAGGAAGTGAGTGATAAATGCATTGGATGCTTTGTGAACAATTAATGGGGTGATGTAGATGAGTGAGGTAGGTGAAAAGGTGACATGGCAGTTGCAGAGGAGGAAATGAAGAGAGTTTGTGATGTGTGATGATTTCAAGCAAACTGTGGGAACTAGTTCAGGGAAATCTGGTAAAAACCAAATTACTGTTTTGGCCTCTTTCCTCCTCTGATCCTCTGTCTCCTCCCTCTCAGGTATAAGAACGTGGAGCGTCTGGCGGCAGAAGAATATGAGAAAGAGCGTGTCCGGGTCTCAAGGACTCGCCCTGACCTCAGCCTCTCCTTTGAACCTTCAGAGCCCTGGCCCTCGTCATCATGTAGCAGCACCCCATCGTCCTTGGCCTCCCTGGAGGACGCAGAGACTGACCTTGAAGCTGGGACCCCCGCCGCCCCTTACACACCTTCTGAGACTGGTAGAACAACTGAGAACACTGTCATATGGTGTTTATGTGGGTGTATTGGTTGGAAACAGGTTATAGATTACTTATAACATGTAACAAAGTAATCTTTAACATCAAATTTAATAACATCTGTCCTATTTTAACAATACTGCAGTCAAGTGACACATACTTATTAAGTATTGTGGGTTTTTTTAAGGTATTAATTGTATTATAATCTCAATGTCTAATGAGTAGTGGTGGTAGAGAAATTGAATTCAACAAACTTCAAAGTTGTAATTCTTAAGATTTCAGTCCTGGTCGATTTGGCAACACCCATGGTTACCATGGTAACATCAAGTGTGGGTTAATATGGAAGCAAACACCAGCTGATTAACTGAGCAGCTACTTTATGAAAAACACAACAGGACATAAACAGGTATATTTGTTTACTATGCAGCGAAACTAACTCACTTTGTTCTAATAAAGAAGCAAGTCAGAAATTAGAATTGCAATCTGATTTCATGCAACACAGTGAAAGTAGTTTTAGGAATCACTAGCAGAAAATGAAGCGTCTAGTCTGCTGACTGCAACTCTTCTTCTAATGGCTGATACTTAAAACTAAACAGGGATCAGAAAATGCCCAAAGTAACCTTTTTGTTTGTTTGTTTGTTTTGTTTGTAGAACTACAAACAGACAGTAAGTGCTCATCAGTGCAACTTTGCATTCATGATGAGCAATTGCTGTCAGGGCAAATACTGTTGAAATGAAATTATGTAATGCTGGGTTACATGAAAGTGTT